GTGCGATTCTGGGTGTGCGCGGCAAATTGCGCGGCGAAATTCGGTGCGATTTGAACAAATGCAGCGTTTATCATTGGGGCCCAAATTTGAAGTTAAGTAGGTTAGTAGGATTGCCCGACCCTACTAAGGTACTCTACTTCAAGTTTGTGCCCCAATAATAGGCGCAGGAGTCGTTTGAATCATCGCAAATTTCGTCGCACAATTTGCCGCGCACCCGGAATCGCACGAATCGCACGTCCCCCATCCTCAGGGAGTAAATGCTGCGGTACTGTCATTTGATACTACCACTTATGCCGCTTATAGTTGTGGGACCCGTGGAAGCAACGTAAGTATTGTGGAGCTTTGCTTGAAAGTTGATGATGCAGACCTTTCAACTGCTGTAGAAATACCCTCTCCGGTATTAAGTCGAGCCATAGTAGCACGAGCCATTGAATGATCAGAAGAAAATGCCTGTATTTGCCTTAAACATATCTTTTCTTTTTCAGAGCTAAGTGATAAAGTCACCCTCGAAGGGGTTGCGGTGCATATCACAGAAGTCGACTATCCGCATGCTGGCTTGTACAGCTGTGAAGCAATTAACGAGTACACAACTGGTGGTAAAACAAGCAAGCCGCTAATAATCATCGAGAAAATGCTGGATGTAAAGAGTAAGTTACAAGTGACTGCTCAGCTTTTCGTTTTTTTCTTTAATTTTGGTGCTGTTTTGAATTATTTTCTTCATAGTCGTTTGTATATCGCTCCATAGCTGACTTTTCATTAGGACCACACCGATCATCATTAGGAACAGAGGTGTACCCTGTGATATTCCACTGCTTCTCCAGATGTGCGTGAAATCGTAAGAAAACCTCAGTTGGCAATGGGCCCAATTCTGTGGCAATAAAGTGTTAAAACGAATCAAATTAGTAGTTCAAGTGCTGCAGACCTAGCACTTACCGTCCACGTTAGATCAGATCCAGATCTCACCATTGTAATATGGTTAGTTGCAAGCCGGTAGATTCGCAGTGTCTCCCAATCTCTCATAAGTCCCCCGGTAGCCAATATAAGAAAGTTCAAAATTCTTTCCTCCATTATTTTTTATGCAAGTAACTAAAAAATTATAAGCAAACCTAATTTTCAGGTGAACTCGCCTGGATCTATCCACTGATAGTCATAATCATAACACTCGTGCTCCTCGTCATCATTATTGCTCTATGTGAGCTCAGAAAACGTCGACAGAACAGGCAGTAAGTTTTTCTATAAACTGGTTTTGCGGCGATATTACAACTTTTGAACAGCGACTTGAGAAACGTTTGGACAAGCTTCAATGTCTAATTTCTGAAGTACAGGACATGTAGGCCATGAGTGCTGTATTTAACGAGGGCAGGCGGGACTTCACCTTCACCTCTATCAACTAACTGTTATGTCTGCATAGATACACATATATATATATATATATTATTTATATATTTATATCGCGCAAACTCCACCCACCCAGGGAGCTATTTGACGTTAACCAACT